GGATGGCATAATCGTAAATTCTTGGATAAAGGAATTTTATAATGATAAATTGAACATAAAGTAACGCCGTCAGGGGGATTTGTAACGGCGTTAATGTAGCAGGGAGAGTGTGCATGCAAAAGTATATTACAAGGGGGTATGGCGCAATTTTTAAAATACAGGGGGAAAACGCGCAGATTTAGTATATTACAGGGGGGTTTGGTGCAATTTACCCGTCATTTAAGAGCTTGCAGGATAATTTCTATAGATGTAAGTCTTATAAAAATCTAAATGTTGGATTATGATCACCGTTGAGTTTTCATAAGATTTTGCATTATTTGAAATTTTGCCTACCTTCTTCGTCAATCGGTTGCCGATGAATTAATTTTCAGAAACCTATAAACCACAACTTATTTTTTGTCTCGTCATGAGCTTCAAAAACATTAAAACAGTTTTGAAGATCGATTCAAAATTCATAGTTAATTGTCATTTTAGGATTTTTAATAAAGAATGCAAATTATCAATTTCATATATTTCGAGACACGAATTGTCAGACATAAAAGTTTTTATGACCAATTAAAAACAAAAAACAAAAAAAAAGGGATTTTTACAACATTGGATGAATAGTCTTTCAACTCAAAAGACATCATTTTTTAAAAAAAATAAAAAATTGTTGTCCGTAGGATTAATAGACTCTATAATTCAAACATCGGTTTAAGACATCGTGTGATAATCTGACTTAGCAAATCACAAGTTTTATATCCTTGTATGCACACACATATATAAACAAATAAATAAAATCAAACTTAGGAATAAATATAAAGATTGAAATTCATGTTAAATAGAAGTAACAAATTTTTTTTAAAGCTTTCGTAGATATTTTTTTAAAAAAAAAAAGTTTTATTATTTTTCTTTATATTTCTTTTTATTAGTTATTGATATTTATCTTATTATTGTGAGGCAGAACCGCTCACCTGCTCACGGTTGGCAGTGTCCACCACTTTTTTTTTACATGAAAAACGTATTCTGAGAATACGTTTTTCATGTAAAATAAAGTGGTGGGCAGTGGTGAGCAGGACTATATTGTGAGGCACATCATATTTGAAGCTGTTATACACATCTTCATTGGAGGGTCTATATATCATAAAAGTTGTTATACACACTAACATTGAAGGATATTTGAGTACACATGATTAGTTTTCTGCATCTTTCAAGTTAAACACATTTAAAATGAGGAGAAATGCAAATGCTATGGTCCCGTTTCGGTATCATCCCGTCGAGTGATTTAACCGTTGAATCTACTTATATCCAACGGTTAAAACACCTAACAGGACCGTAAAATTTCCCTAAAATTAGAAGGTTCTCATTAAATTGTGTTTTTATTTATCTATTTAATGTTTATTCTTTATTCTATTTATTATTTATCTATCCTTCAAGTTGTAGGCATTATCCATGTCCTTCAGAATAACAAAACAGATGACAGCCATAATTTTTGTTCATAAGCAATGACATTATAAAGTACAAACGCTTCATTTTCAGCCCATCTCTTTAGAACAAAGGTAGAGGCAGCACATTTGGTATAAACTACTGATAACTTTAGCAATGGCAAATTTTCACTATAAATTAGCATTTGTAAATGTAATGATTTGCGGCGCAAATGCAGCATATTCCCTAGAGATGAACCGTCAGAAACAAACATTCCAAGGCTCAAAAGCATCATCCTCAATGACTCCGAAAAAGTTTTAACAGGAACCCCCGCTCCCCAAAATTACTAAACATGATAAAACTCCAAAACAAAAAACGATCAAAGGATCCACGTCCTGAAGCCATCTAATGGGACTTCACATACTCCTGAACAATATGAAGGCCCTCACTTTCTTCGCCATAATCCTGCAAGATCATTAGAAACTGTTAAAACTAAAAAAGCCTAGTTAAAGGTATCATAAAATACATTCATCTGAATTCTTCTTCATAGCCATGTTACCTTTACAACAACACATGAGCAACCAACCACCTTCCTTGCTTTCCCTTCAGAGTCGATCTTACACAGCTGAATAAAAAAAAAAAAAAAAAAAAAAAAAAAAAAAAAAAAAAAAAAAAATCAATGACAAGACAAAAAATGATCATAAATTGGAGTGATGATGAGAAAGTACAAAATAAAAGAGATAATCTGAACATTATTTATACTGACACAACAGTATAAATCTGTTGAAATCATAAAAACTTCAAATAAACATTTAGAGAGGTTTGGATCTCGATGATGAACATAAACAAAGTTATAATCCTACTGTCTGATTATACAAAATTATACACAAAGCAGGTTGAGGGGAAAAAAACCATCAGTACATGGAATATCACATCAATATTGACACCCAAAGGTGCATCAGACGACCGTCGTGAGATATTTATCCATACTCATCCTTTGGCCTCAATACTTGCTGCTACTTCAAGAAACCTCCTTTTTTATAATATTTATCCAATGGCCATTTCAATGATGTGTGCAAAATAGGACTCGTTCATTTTGAACTTACAAAGTCAAACATGGAAGCAATATATTATGTTTCCTCCTTAGATGTTCAGGTGGACATAGAGATCCCACCCAAATTCAACTGAAGGAATAAGCTGATTTTGGGTGCTTCATTCATCTCAAAGGCATAAAAATATGAGCCAATGAGCCAAACTTAAGCCCCATTGTACCCAATATAACATACTTTAAAAAAAAAATATCAGAAAATGCACTACAAAGTCACTCACCCCAACCCACTCGCCAAGAGTTTTAGCACTCGGCACAGTAATCAGGCTAACATTGTGATCCGCACACAGAGACTTCACCAGCTTGACATAATCAGTCTGGTCACAATCCTCTGCCAAAACACAAAGTTGAGCAGCATGCTTCTCAATAACCTTAGCAGCTTCATGGAGCCCTCGAGCAAGACCACTGTGGGCCCGTGACTTTTTCAACACCAACTGCAAAGCAGTCATGATGTCCATAGGCTCCCCAAGAGCTGGAACTGGTGCTGGGGCCTCTGCAACAGCAACATCCTCCCTGTAAAGAGAGAAACATAAGCATTAGTCAAAAAAGCCAATAAAGAAGGGAACACAATAAGTACATGAGCAAAATTCATGAACATTCTCAAATCCTGTTAGACTACCTTCAGGAGTGGGAAAATTGTACGGGTAACACATTAACAGGAGGCTAACATGTATTGAGAGTAGAGACAGGTACGACAAATTACCAATAGAAAGATGACATTGCAAATGTCGTTGTGCGAATACCAAATAAAAAGATGGTGGATATTGTACACTGAGACTAAACACAAACAGATTAAATACAAAAACAATCTGAGGTTTCTATACATTCAAAATATACATAGCTGTTAAAATTAGAATACCCCTTTCAAAATTTGAAGAGTGGGAGGTGTCTTTCATAAGGAAATGCAAACCCCATGTAAGTTTGCAACAAATTAAAGGGACTATGTAGAGATTCTCTTCTTAAGATATCTAAGTTAACGAATAAATGGTAATTTATATTTACGCCGAATTTCAAACAACAACCGACTATGCTGAAGCAAACCTATTTCGCACTTTTAGCAGACCAACTTACCGAAAGGAGAAGGCCTAAATGACATAATGGAAGGTAATGCAATAAAATGGAACTCAGCTACATCACATAACTGTTCGGAGAAACCCATTTTCAGACAAGAAAACCGCTACACCAGTGACCAGTCTACTATCAAATATACAGTCTGACAGAGACTATTTGCAAAAAATGCAGCTTCAGAGATCAAGAACATACTGAAGGTAAATAGTTTAAGCAATTACCCTGACATTTTTCTTCCTGATATGAACCTCTGGAACTTCTAACCTGTTGCTGCCATTTAAACAAGCAACAAAATCAGACATAAAAAAAAAAAAAAA